TTTGTTGCAATAAGATATTCATTTGATCTTGCAAACCTTCACAAAGAATCCATGTTCATCACGGCATGTGTGGACACATCGGTGCCTCGCTCCGTCCACATTGGTTGAATTTTGCGCGTCGTCCTCATCCCTTCGCCACCAATATACCTCTATCATATAACGCCGTGACGATACTCACGCCTCTGCCCACGTCGCGAGCGAGCGTAGTACTGCTGCAGAATTCGTCTCCGTCATTCTTATACAAGGTCTTCAGTCCTTCCTCTTCGCTCCACTCTCCCACCCAACTAGGCGCCGTACACTCGCAAGGTCCTTTCTCCTCATCTAGTCCTTGCATGTTGCAATTTGCTCTCGCTTTGCTCACAGCTGTGAGTGCTGGGGCAAAAGGGTGGCCTGCCAAAAGAAGCTTGCCAGAAGAATCGACAAAAAGGTTGTCGACCGTCGAAGGCGCACGAATATATTTTCTGAAATACAGACTGATCGTGTCAGGGTAGAAGCTGTAGATGTTTACGCCCATTTTGGAAGACGAGGCAACGGCAACAGTCGTCGAGTTGAGCATGGCAATGCCGTTGGCGAAGGGGACGTGCGTCAACGTCTTGGTGTGCTGCAGGTTGTGGATATCAGTATAGACGACACTACCTCCAGGAATGCCAGAAAATGTTTCGACCTGTGATATGAACGGTGAGACCAATGCGCCGATGTAGTGGTCATTGGTAACTAGTAGCTTCCCATCTCCTAGAGAGTGTATGGAATTCGGCGTATGGATCAACGGATGTTTCAGTGTCTGCAAATATCTGGCTACCGCATTCTGGACGGAGACTTGGAACACTTCGATGAGATTTCCAGAGTTGCGGGAATGGTTGACGACATATAGCGTAGAAGTCGCGGCGTCAAATTCGATGCCCAGAGGCTGAAAATCCACCGCGTTATTATAGTCAGTCAGAACGAGAGGCTTCAAAGCGTCTGAGTCCAGAATGTCGGGCGTTGAATAGTCGTAGATCCAGATATGTGGGCTATCGGTACCATCTCTTTTGTCCAAAGGTGACGCAAAGGCTCCCTGCATATGTAAGCCCTCGTCGCGTTGAAACTATTTTGCTCTTAGGGGCAAATCCAAGGGGCGGCTACGCACCATTACCGTGTTCCACTGATCTCTCTCTGGATTGCAGCTCAAGAACGCAATACCCATATCTTCTTCCACCAGTACATCCTCGCAATTGCGAAGCCGATCGCGGAACTTGACTTCGTGACTCTTGAAGTGGTTGACATTTTCAAATTTCCCTGGTCTGTTTGCAAATATCGTGGAGAACCCGAGATAGCGGTCGTATACCCACGGCGCGGCAATGGCGATTGCTGCGATAAGCAGCTGCGTTACGGGTCAGTTACCAATCGTCAATCACCCTCGGACCGCTGCATCTCATATCAACTTACGATAGATCGCGTCGCCATGTTTACAGGAGCGCGTCCTAGCCCGGCGAGTACTGTTGATGTAGTAAAGATGACCGGCACAGTCGTGCACGAAGTTCACTGTGCTAACAGGTCGCCTTGACCCCACCAGAAGAGGGGACAGCCATCCTCGTTTGCATAAGATTCGTCAGCATCTCTCCAGGGTTTGAGTAGTAAGCATGTCGGTCTTTCCTGCTGTGTCGGGCCGTTAGCAGCTTGGGTTGTCGTGGAAGGCGCGACTGCACAGATGCCGAGGCGGAGCAACAACCTGACGTCATGACCTGCGAGTGAGCAACTCCAATCCCATTGACACACACTTGACACACAAGACCTCCATTTAGCGAGGTCGCTTGTGGCCTTACTCGTGAACGTATGTCTTCTAGGTAGCTAGGCTGTTGTTGTTACTACTTAGCAGCACGCCTATATGGGAAGTTTGACCCGACTCGGCAAGGACAGGAACACGCTCGGGCAAAGTCAACACTGATACAATCTTTACAGTCGCCACCGGAGAAGTCGGTTTGTGAGCTGTCCACCTTTACAGACGCGTCTGTCAATCTCCCGGAATTGGTGCAGGCGTGCAATGTGGATCGTGAGATCTCAACTCGGTGGATATCCACCCCTTATAGTCAAACCTAGACAAGTGGATGGTCCTACTTACCGGCCCCATCCTCCCGTCAAAGTCTTAGTCTCGCTTTCATCATTTGTAACTTGGTAGCAAGCGTTTCCAACATCTCCACACTTTGATAAGAGGGCTGTCTAGGTCTCAATGATGAAGGGATCGCAATGAGGCGCCATCAGCTCGCTCGACACTTCGAGATACCCAATTGCGCTATATTCACTTATGGGCCCGGTAAAGGAACGTCGGCTTGACGTTAGTAATCTCGAAGCGCCTCGATTTCTTGGGAACGATTATTGCCTGGAGATCAAGAAGCTGGGTGACGGCAATTTCCTCCGAGGAGCGGATGAGCAGCCCAAGATAAATGGCAAGAGTTCTGAGCCCCGGAATAACGTTCGGAGTTCCAAGTTTTTTGAAATATCCAGTACGCAAAATACTCTAGAATTTGGACGGCTGCAGGTAACAACTACACAAATCGAGGATACGTAGCACGGGTCGGAAACCTGTATGCATCTGCTTAATAGTAGATGAGTCGCTGATCTTTAACACTTGCAAATCTAAGAGATGCTAGTTTGCCCGCGAACTAGAGACTCGAAGTATTTAATGTAGTAGTCTCGGAGATGACACTCTTCCGCCTTCACAAGCATCGGTGCACCCCTTAACACTGCACGGCCGTTATAGCTAGGCAACTCTACTCTGAACTCTACTAGTCTCTTTAGATTCGGGAAGGGATAGGACTGCTCTTAGGTATTTCTTCAACTATCTAGTAATAAACATACAGTATGCGTGTGGGTACAGTCGTGCTGTGGTTGGTTTGCTGAATATTCAGGTCTTGTTGTAGTGTCATTTGTTGAACAGTAGGGACATGGGCCATGGTCACGAGAAGTGCATCTTCTCTGAACTACCGACTGCATCGAGAGTCCTCTAGTGCATGATATATACGTGCTCGTACAGAATTTGCCTGCAATCATATACTCTCGTTGTAGTAGTGACATGTTGCACCTGATGAGAGAAGACGCATGGATTGCCGTGAGATCTTCTCTGGGCACTCTATGTGCTCGAAGGTTGTCCAGGTACATGGCGCGCATCCGCAAGAGTATCAGTGTACTTCAATCTAGCATGCTGCAGCTACGTTGTGAGCAAGTACTCGTACCCAAGGCAAGTAAAATGACCTCTGTCGTCTCCACAAGTTCACATCTGTGAATCATCCGAACGGTTCCTCATGTCCGTCCACAGCCTGCAGATGCCGAGCGATCGGTATATGTCATGCTCGCTATGAACGAGGTAGTTTAGGCTCAATGGATTGGCCATGGCTTGATTCTAGATCTTGACGCACCGTCCTTTCCGAGACTTTGGCATGATCTCCGATGCGGTCGCCGTGCATTCAAGTCGTTGGCTAGGTCTCGTGTGCAACTCAGACCCAAATGTGTATCGGCTTAAAAATCTTCATGTTGAAAGATGGCGACTGCACACAGCGGTGTGATATACGCCTTTGATAATGTGGAGAGCCGGAACGTGAGCACTAACACTGCCGCTTGACAGTGGCCGAAAGCTGACGTTCGAGAACGGCAAGGAACAGGTAGTCACTCCATGCGGCGTGTGCCTACGGAATAGGTAAGTGCATAGGGGGGCGGGGTCACTTGTAGGGTGCAAACAGATTGTTCTCGGTATCATATACGTGCGCCGTTTGCCAACATAGCCATCGATGTTGGTTTGCTGACAAGACGATATTGAGCAGTCTTGGTAAAGGCACAGGACGCCGGACAGGAAGGTTGCTGGGTAACGGACAAGTTCTTCGCTAGTCCTACACACCTGCCCTCAAACGTCGGGACGTGAGAAGACGACCGGCCACGCGCGCTGAAAGAGGCCAGCGAGCGGGCGTGTGGTCCAATGTGAACATCGACTCACGCTCTGTAGCTGACCGAGACACGAAAGATGTTAAGGAACGGAGCCGATAGGGGCGTGGCTCGCAGTGGCTTATTGGCTTGGCGACACTGTTTAGAGTGTTGGGTGCCGTGACGGCGAGACAGTTGCAGCGACTTCCAGGCTATACCTCCGGCACTAACGCACTGCGCAACGAGTCCACCTCCATGTTCAACAGGACAACACAATCTACATCATCATCCGCGCCATGGAGGGGCAACGCAACTTCCAACGCTTGCCGGAAAGTTACGTTGACAGCGCTGCTCCTCGCGACATGCCCTGTAGCGGCTGCATTCTGGCGCTGTAGTGTGAGCCTTGTTGCCGCGCAGGGGGCAGGCTTTGGCGAAGGCGTTGGGGACCGCGCCGCCAGAGACAACCGCGTCCCGTTTTTTCTGGCCAGAACGTCGCTCGATTTGGCTGCGTTTTATTGCATTGTACAAACCAGTGCATATCCAGCCTATCATAGTCATTCCGCTCACAGACCGTGATTCGGTCGAAAGCTTCTATTACCCGAATCGCGTGCCAGTCATCAGCCGAAGAAACGAGTTTTGCTTGCACGGGGCCGTCGTGGCTTGTTAGCTGCTAGCAGGCCAGGCATGGGCGCCGGTGGCTTGAAGGATTCGCTGCTTGCATGGCAATCATCATAAGGGCCGGCCGCTCCTCATGCTTGGTCACGTTCTGGCTGCTAAATAAATCGACGAAAGGCTGTTCGTGCCGTTCTTCTGGCTGCGATCGACATTGATAAGCAAGTCCCCCCAGCTGGCCGTCACTCTTTGCCTTTTCCTAGTCACCACCGTTACCCTACCCCTGACGGCCCGCAAAAAGCCCTCGGACACTTGCTGAACCACTGCAAGGTACCCGAATCTGAGGTTGGACGAAGTACCTAGGCAGTCATTGACAGTGGCGGCAAACCTCCTTGTCACAGCAACGGTACCTACGTACGGCCATGGGTATCCGGATTCCGAGGAAATTCTGCGGTTAATAATAGCATCCTCGACTGCTATAGTACCGTTTATTGGAGATGAGTCCTCAATGTTTCGAATGCGAGTCGGTAGCGATCCTGTCGCACCATGCTCCCCTGCCAACGCGGAGGAGGCAACACGAAAACCGCTGCCGCGGTGACCCCTTATATCTTCGAGTGTCACCACGCATCGGCCGACAGTTTCGCGCGCTGCTTCTGCTGCTCGTCATATCTCTATCCTGCAGTTCCCAGGCTGCCCCCGTATCCGCAACGGAAGCCTATGGTGATCGACCGGCCCTGCTCGTCGAAGACGACCTTGCCTGGACAGGATCGGCGTTATACCTGGATCTCAGCCCACCACCCACCGCGTCGCGATTGATGCCTCCTCTAAAACGCGACGACGATGTTACCCGCACACCCTCTGCAACTCTTTCGGAACGCGCCATTACAACAGACTCTGATGGCTCTGGCACCGGATTCAAAGTCCCCACGGCATTCGATACTGGCCTATCAAATAATTTCACAAACTCATGCGCAAACTTCCTTAATCGCCTACGTCAGAGTCAGGCATTCAACGACTGCCACCCATTCTCCTTGCTATTGCAGGTATGGTACTTCAATAATACGAGAGAGAAGAGTGTGGCTAATCAGTACCATGCAGACGTCAAGCGGTTTCTTCGACGCCTCCAAATCTACACTACGCATCACACAGACTCTCGATGCAACCTGTGGAGTAAACGCAGCACAATGCAAACCTACCCTGGATAATCTCGCAGTGGAGCTGCTATCGGAAATGGCATGCAAAGCCGATTACGACACCGACAATCCCCTGGTGCTACAGGCTTACAATGGCCTCGTTGCATACCAACCGTCTTACCAAGCAAGCTGTTTGCATGATGACGAGGGAAATTATTGCTTTGCGAACGCCGTCAGCAACATGTCATCACCGGGAGATGCCTACCCATACTACCTACCCATTGGCCAAGAACTTCCCGGCGGATCAAGGCCAACCTGCAACTCGTGTTTGCAACAAGCAATGGGTGTATTTGCCACTTACAGCAACAACGCAACACAACCTCTTTCAAAAACCTATACCTCGGCCGCTCAGCAAATATCAATAGCATGCGGCTCGACGTTTGTCAACGTCACGGCCGCCCCACTCAAAGGGGCTGCATCGACGACGACCACCACCACAATCACACCCACGATAAGCTTGATCTTAATGTTTTTACTTTACTTCTTCCAGTGATGGAGCGATACCCTATACATTCTATACTTGTAAATACTTTACCTTAGTTATTATTGATATCAGGATCGACTGGTCATTAGCGACGGCGCTTGGGAGGATTCTTTTTTGGCCGTCTTGGATTGTTGCAAACCTGGCGGGATAGTCATGGGGTCCTCTGGCCCATAACGTTGGCTTTTGCCGCGATCCGGCCTGTCGAGGCACGACGAGACACTTGGACGTGTACACAGTTCGCCATGAGTGAGGCGTCTTTTCTGTACACCAATAACATTGCACAAACTGTGATCGAATGATCAAAAGTCAGCTACGCACAAAGCAGTTTTTTGAACTCGTTTCACGAATACCAGTATCGAGGGCTTGATTAGTGATTGGCTGTGAGTCTGTCGGTGTAATATGAAGGGTCATGGCGCAACCCATGAGCCTGGGATTCTTGGTCACCGATGCCACATACCCAGGTAATCTATCCGTCACGATCGCGCCTTTGGGTCCGCTCCCGCTGACGATTTGCCTATACCCTGTCCCCGTTGTTGTCATTTCGTTTCGGCCGACGCACTTGTTTCCGAAGAAAAGGAAATTACAGCATAGCGCGCGATGGATATGGTGACTCCATGTAAGGCGGACAAGGACAATATGTGGATCTGCGAACGTCACACGTCAGCGCATGTCCGGCTGTGGGTCTGATCACCTGCTCGGCATGTCTTCTCGATCTCTTCCGAACAAGCCTGAAACGTGGCGGACCCTCGTCACGTGGTGATCAGCCTTGCGGGGTGCCGTGATTTGACAGAAAGCGGTCGCCTGGGACGTTACACATCAACGTTGTGCTTCAGCTTCCCGTTGTCGGACCTTTTGTACAACGTCGATAACATGCACTTGATTTGCGCTATGGACTTGATTGCGTCCATGTCAAGACCGGCTGTGGTAAGGAATTGCCAGGTCGGCCGGCATGCCCCGTGGACCAATTCAGCAGAACAACGTTGGTTTCCCGCGCCGCGGTGGAGCTGTGGACTGTCCTGTCATCTCCAACGCCCTCCATCCTTGCATGGATGATCCGCGCAGCTCTTGGTCGTCAGCTGTGCCAGGCCAGCCTCTTCCTGGCTCTTATGTCAAACACTTCATGCGTTTGAAAGGCCCGACCAGTCTTCTGCCAGCCGTGTCCCATGCACTTTCTTGTACCTGAGACGTCCAGCTTCGCCGCGAGGGTTTGCTATGCGTGTCCCTTCCACTCCTCTCATTCCCTCATGACTTGTACTAATTGACAAAGTCGATATTAATCGGGCAGGCCTGTCTCTTCATCTTGCTTCACGGCATAGTCACTCTCTTTGTTGCCACCACGCTCCTTAGACACATTCATTATCGACGTCTCCTCGAATACTTTTCATACACCCGACACCGTTCCTTGACCGCTACCTCCACTTGAACTAATACACGACATTCCATATCTCGACCCTACGATGGCCGACGTCATGGCTCAACAAAGCATGTTATCTGCGCCTGCATCCAGACAAGACATTGTCAGCGCACTACTTAACGACTATGGCAACTCTTTTGGCCGAGGCGACGCATCTCCTTCAACGTGGTCGCCCGTACCTGCGGACAAAAAGCTTCCTGCGCCGCCGTCACGATCAGATAGCGGCGCACGTGAACCGCTTCCAGCTGCGTTGAGAATGGAAGCAAAGTTTCAGTTGAGAGGTAAGCAGAGATCACACAAATTCTACTATAATGGATTGCATCCGTGTTTGGTTATTCATCAAGAGCTCGCTGGTACAGACTGTGTGTCATATTGCAACCTCGATTCCGCATGCCAATGTGCTGTATGCGTGGTGATACATCATCGTTGCTTTGTCGTCGCTCAGAGAGCCGCATGGACAAAGCCATCATATCATAAACCCGAGCGAATGGTGCTAACAGAGAACAGATGACCAAGACGCACCTGTTCTCCCAAGGAGTCCGGTGCCAGGCTCCCCACCTCGACCAAGGAGGAGGATCGAGTCACGTAGCCTATCTCGCGAATCTAAGCCAGCATCTCTCAAGCTTACCATCAGCAACGGTTCAACAGCGACTGTGCCCCCTACCCCAGCATTCCCAGCACGATCAGAGTCTCTCCCTTCTTCAGCAATAGAGGAGAAAGATCTTCCACCTCCACCACCTGCAAAGTCCGAGAGGCGGAAGTCGGTTAAGCAGTCTGATGCGGGAAGCCAATCGTCAAGGCCAGCGACGGATCTCGCGAGAAACGATTCGCTTCTTTCCCAAGGCGAAAGCAGAGACTCTACGGAGACGTCTACTACAACCACATCATCGGTTATTGGGCGCAAAGCAGTACCAGACCAAGGTCTCAAAAAGTTCAAAAGTCTGGCAGAACTGAATAACGGACCGCGAGGAAGGAAGGGCGCTCCAATGCCCCCCACATCAGCGCCCAGAACCTTGAGCGTTGATAGCCAGCGATCAAATGCTGTCTCAAGGAAAGGCAGTGTCGACAGTCAAGCAAACATGCCCGAGGCTGCCGCACCTCAGCCCGCCGAAAAGCTACGAAAGACGGAAGCAGAGCTCCCACCGACACCGGGGGAAGAACAAGACACCAGGGTCCCTGTACCACCTAAGAAAGTCTTCACGGGTCTTCCCTCAAACCCTCGTATCAAAGCCCCGGCATCGCCCCTTCACTTCCGCGGCAAAAGCAGCACAGGCTTCAATGTCTTGAAGGTATATATTTGCCTCCCCTTTCCCTCTCCAGTACTTGTACGATAGTTGTCGTACTGCGTTGCAATGTTCGCAAACTCAAGGGTACCTGGATCCTGTTCCAAAAGAAGAATACTGTTTGCTGACTGAGATCTCGTAGGCAATGAGGCCGGCTCCTCCAATCCCCACGATGGAATTGCACACCATTACGCCTGAGATGACACCTTCCCCGACGTTGAAGCCAGTCCTAGCAAAGAAGGATGCTGAGATCTCTCCGGTTTCCCCACTGCCACCACCAAAAGATGAGAGGCGGCCTTTTAGCTTCGAACCTGCTGTTGCCACCACTGAGACCCAGCAAAAGTCAACAGAGCAGGAAGAATACCTCGCAATGTCGGAATTACCACTTCAAAGCACCACTCCACCAGCTGAGACCCGACTACCCATGCGCACCACATCACTAGACCCACCCGAACCATCCCCGGGCTTCCAACGACCCACAAGTGCCCCATCATCCCGCCCAACATCATCCGACCTCCAAGATTACAACCTCTCCCCCTTCCCAGGACCTTCCGTTCCAACATCACCCGTTGACGGCTTGCGCACAGAGCCCACAACGCCACCCACACCGCCTCCCTTCGAGCCCCTAACCCGCCGACCAATCCCTTTGCCCGTGTCTTACATTCCACGTATCACGCCCGCACAACTCTCCTGCTACACAAGACATTGCCACAACATCTGGTCTAACAATATATTCCAGCCCATGGGCTGCATGGTGTGCCATGAGAACGACAAAGATAGGAAGTGGGCGTGTACGTGGTGTCAGTTGCGGATTTGCCGTAGCTGTAGTGAGGATCTGAGGGCGATTTCAGGCAGAGACTTGGGAACGCTGATACAGAAGAGAGAGAAGGGGGAGGTCATGGCGCCGGGAATGAAGCTTAAGGAAGACAGGTTTACGATGGTTGTTGAGGACATTGATGGGGAGGAAAGGGGAGAGGGAATGGATAGTGAAGGTGTTGCGTAAGGTTTCTTTGGGTTTGGGTTGGGTGTCCGGTTGTCTTCTTCCCACGCGCAGTACAGGCGCGCATCGGGCGGATGAATTGCTTCATTACATGATATCACATTTACGCAACGTTGGAGTTGGATGGGAAGTTATACCTAGAATGCTGTGCATCGTTTAGCTAGCTTGGCGGCCTTCACGGCAAACTTGATTACCGTATTGACTCAATGGTATCTTGCCGAGCCAGTGTTGACTTCGTCATCTTTCGTACATGTTCTACTTCGTCTCCTTCATCTCCTGCAGTATCCTCACAACCTGGGGTAGAACCTTCTCCGCGTTCTCACTTAAGCGCGCAGCTTCCCGGCCAGTATTGGTGTCCGCGACGTTTCCAAAGAAGGTTTCCTCGCCCCGGACACCACCCATGTTGAGTATCCCAATCGGCATCTGCATGTCCTTTGCTTTCTTCACTAGCCGCCAGGCAGAGTACGTCGCAAGACTACTTCCAATGACGAGTATCCTGCCTGCTGCATCGACTGCCTCTTCCGCAGCGACTTTTGTGGCAGCAGGTATAGACTCGCCGAACATGATGACAGCAGGCTTCAGCACTCCGCCTTCGCTCGCCGGGTCCCAGGCGCCATCCTTGTCGACTTGTACGTGGACCTTGCCTCCGTCTGCGCGCTTTGGCGGCTTCTCCAAGCACGTCGGACACGGCGGGTATCGGAATGTGGTGTACGGGGCGTTGGGCACGTCGACGTCACCATCTGGGTTCGACTTGAGCCCTTTCTTGCGGCGCTCGTCGGGGTTCTCGGTGTCTAGGGCGCCCGATTCGATCATCTCGGCGAGGAAAGCGGCCCAGGAGGGGTTCAGGGTGGTGAGTTGGCTCTGGAAAGCCCGGCGCGAATATTCGTTGCGACAGGTGAGGCAGACGAGGTTGCGCAGGTAGCCGTGTAGCTCGATGGTGGAGAGGTCGGGGTGCGCCGTTGGGTGGAACGAGTCTACGTCTGCTCAACTCGTTAGCATGCTGTGACGTTTGCCAGGGAGAACATACTCTGCGTGATGATACTTCCAACAACACCCATGCGCCCCAACTCGCCACAAGCCTCGTGGGCCTTGTTTGGCTTGGCCTTCTCTAGGTTCGTCCAGCCGAGGAAACTCCTCGCCCAATACCTCTTCCTCGCTTCGTGGCTGTCACAGAACTCGTGAAAGTAGACGGGCCGGTACGTCTTGTTCAGTGTGTAGGTGCCATTTGTGCCTCTGTAATCGGCCAAGCCAGACGCTACCGAGATACCTGCCCCCGTAAGCAGCACCGTCTTGCCCGCATGCTCGCCCCGAC